CGGCCCCCCCCCCGACGGCGGGGCCAGCGGCGAGGCGCACGCGGTGGCGGCGTCATCGGCGGGGCCCAGCGGCGAGAGGGAACGCTCGCTCTCATAGCCTGACGTCTCCTCCTCCGCCTCCGAAGCTGCCGGCACAACAAAAACAATTTTCAGTTTTTGTCAACAATCACATTTGTTCATATTGGAATGATTTTCTCATATCAGTTACAGTGTTCATTAAGTTTATACAATAATTTAATTACATAATTTGATGTTCAAAGTCCAGTATTGTGTTATTCATTTCTATATTCTTAATTTTTTCTCCATGTACTTGACATCATTCATTATTTCCTAAAAAAAAAAAAAAAAACTCGAAAATTTCCAACACAATTATCTTCAAAAGTAATGACATCAATATATACAGTATTTTTTTTCAATGTTCATATTGTATTTCTAATTATAAAATGATTATTAAAGATCTGATGTTGAAGTCCAACAATACGTGATTTTACCAAGCTTTTTTTTTCCTTCTAAAAAGATTTAACATTTTAATCATTTGTTAAAATAATTGCTGGTACATGCTAACAATATTCCACTTGTTTTCTGAAATAACAACCTCTGTCATATTTTGTGTGTGTGTGTGTGTGTGTGTGTGTGTGTGTGTGTGTGTGTGTGTCTGACTCACCAATTTTGCTGTTGTCGTCAGAGTCCATCTTGGGCCTCTTGCCTGGGACTCCTCCACCATCATGGTCAGGCCTCCGGCAGAATCCCGGCAGGCTCTCTGCGTGGGTGCCGGCAAGCCCGGGCGCCGCCAACCTGGCAGTGCCCCCACCGCTAATGCTAGCGGGCCGCTGCCGGCTGCTTTGTGCCATCCACTCGATGGAAAAGTGTCCCCTCATGACGTCAAACCCGGTTCAGGTAAGTGAGCTTCCTCTGGGTGGGGCGGCGGGGCGGTACGCGCCGCTGTATTTATAGATCGCGGGCCGCCCCTATGCACATCAAAGGGCACACCCCTTCCCACCCCGAACCCCCGCACCCTCCCCTTCGCCCTCACAAGTGCAGTCATTAAAGCGTCTCATTCAGTCTCAATGAGGCTGTTACACAGAGGCTCCAGTGAGTCTGCCCCCCCAAAGCTCCCCCCCAACTACCTTCCTGCTGCCTCCTAGAAGATAATAGACACACCTCAGATACGCACCTCTATGGAAATTATACAGTTCCCACATCACCACACAAAAGCAAACCATCATCACTGCCAAAGAAGAGTTCAGTTGTCTTGAACTTTTTCTTTGCTTTACTTTATATGAGCGTCTGTAGCAATTACTAGCTAAGTACGTGAACATTTGCAACATTAGGAAGTGAGAAATTAGTTCATGATAACACACACAGTAAATTAAAGAAACAAAAATTAACATAGCTCAGTTAGTTTGTTTTTTTTTCTTTTTTTTTTTTAAACACTGGGCCCCAATAGCTCACGAAAAAGTCTCTGAAAAATGCCTGTTCAGTTATTTTTGTGAGCTACATCTTCCACTATGTCAATCCAGAAGCACCAACAGAACACCTCTAGCACGTACACTATCATCAATGCATGTTACATAAACAACTGTATTCACTACAATATTCCGCATAAAGACGCAAAAAACGCCTCCACATGAGGCTCATCGAGAGTACGAGCTAGCATACAAGCCTAAATTACGCGCGAGTACCAACTGTCTTGGGAAACACCATTCAAACGAGCAACAGCAAAGTGATCGGGCAGTCGGGAAATGAGAGAATGATTGTCAATGCATCATGACTAAGTGTATTTTTAGTGAGCTTTTATTTCTACTACATAAAAAGTAGCAGCCAAAAAGTGGAATCATAGCCAAATCCCAAATGGACGCCGGGGAGTGAGTCCAGATTGGTGAGTGGGCTAATCCCAGATAAAAGCAATTTAAAGTGGATTAAAAGCACGCCAAACGCTCAATCAATAAATGATCAGCAATCATTTACATTCAATGAGGTGTGGGGGAGGGGTGACGCAGAATTAATATTGCTGACTATGCACTTTTAGAGTGTTGGAAATAATAGCCACTTTTATTTCATTGTTTTTTTAATTAAAACCACTTCAGAGATTAAGTGATAGTTTCCATTAAATCTTTTATTAACGTTTATAAAATTATCTTACCAACTAAAAGAATTGATGAAGGGATTTCATGTGCTGAAAATTATTTTATAGCCTACGGAATTATAGGACCTTTAAAGGACTAAACTTGTTTTTAAAATGAGGACATGTTGAATTTGAGCATTATATCCTGTTAAAACAACTACTTGTGTCATTAAAACCAATCACAAACTACTAAAGAATTGTTTCAAGTGACGCTGTTTTCCCCCCCACTCCATCGTGTCCCCAAACGCAAAGCCACCACGTGACCGGAAGTGCAACAATTTCAACCCGTTGGCGGTAAATCATTTTAAGAAAGCGGATGAGCGACGACTGGTGTTGTGACGTCACACGCCATCTTTGAAATCGCAAATCGATGAAGACTCGACGGCGCGCACGCACAGCAGACGGGCAACGTCTGCTCTTACTTTTTTTTTTTTGGGGGGGGGGGTTATCACGGCTTCTTCTTATCAAAGCGAGCGCGCAGCCATTATTTAACCCTTTCAGGGGACGCCTGCCTTTCTT